TTCAACTGAAAGTAACAAGGAAGACAATGAGGAGACGATTTTAACTAAGTTTTATGATCATATTATGGACATTGCCACCGATGCTACTGAGAATGTTGATGAATATTTAGATGGAACTAAATCAGAATTGAACCATAAGTCACAAAAACGAAAGAGTAGAAGAAAAAGAATCTCTACTAAAAAAACTAAAATAAACTATGATGTTTTTAAAAACTGGGATGATGATGAAGATCAAAGTACTGATAATTCACTAAACCATAATCCTGAACCAGGATGTTCAACTGAAAGTAATAAGGAAGACAATGAGGAGACGATTTTAACTAAGTTTAATGATAATATTATGGACATTGCCACCGATGCTACTGAGAATGTTGATGAACATTTAGAAGATTTTGAAATTATTGAAAAAGGGCTTGATAACATTTGTATTGATTCAAATAAAATTATAGAACCAATACCAAGTTGCAGTGGTACAAATATGCAAAGAAAATATTCCTATCGGGAGAGAAGTGATTCTGAAACTAATGACATTCGTAATGTAAATATGACTAATAACACTGAGGAAAACATTTTTGATGATTCAAGTGATGAGAACCTGAAAAGTTTACCATCTATAACTTTAAATCAATGTTTTCATCCTTTTAATGAGGAATGTATTCAAGACGATGAAAATCGTGAACCTTCTCCTTCTACTAAAACTATATATTCAGAGATAGAACAATTACATAATGCTTGTCATGAATCAGAACTGATTTTAAATAATAACAATTGTCGATTTAGAAGACCTAATGATGAAGAAGAATCTAGAGAGGCATTTTTATATAAACTCATGAATGATAGTAAACCAGTGGAACATTTTTATCTAGATGATAACATTTACCCAACAGAAAAGGAGATTTGTGACAATGAAAAACGCTTGAACCAATTATTAACTAGCAATTTACTTCCTGAGAATAAATCTGAAATAGTTTTTGGAGAAAATTTGAATGAAGGTAAAAAAACTTTATAACAATCCTATATAATATATATTCATATATATATATATATATAATATGTAAACAGGTATATAATTAATATTATTAAAATATTTACTCTCATTCCCTTGCATTTTGTTTCATATTAGGATACAAATAAAACAAATATTTTGGTTTTAGACTAAATGGAAAAACATTTACATATTTCCTTATTTTCTCATTTCATGATCATGGTATCATCAAATAGATATTTTCTTAGATGTACAATGTTGAATATTATTTTTATTTTATTTAATATTACCCAGTATAATATTTGTAGTATACACACCACTATAGTATAATGAGAAAGTAGAGTAGCAAATACACTGAAATATGTATAAACGCACATATAAATACTTTATTAGTATAGTTTTTTCACTGCTAGTGGTGGGCTATAAAAACTTCACCGCCACATGATTAGGTTCTGAGCAGAACTAGAAATGTATTGGTTTTACAATGATGTTTTTTCTTCTATCAGAAATTTTGGTCCGATTTACAATGATAGCACTTTTTCTGAAAGAAAATCTGACTGAGTAGATACTTGGGAGGCCATTTTTGATTTTCTCTGGAGTTTGTTTCTAATAAATGGAAAAATTTACGAAATTTGGATGTTATGAAAATATTATGGCCTATTTTTTTCTGTGAATTACCTTACTACTATCAAATTTTTTCCAATTTACAATGTTAACACTTACTCCAAAATAAAATCTGTCTAGCTTAGAACATCAGGGGGTCATTTTTTTAAATTTATTTCCAGCTATTTGCATAATGAATGGGAAATACAAAACAATAAGTACAAAATTAGACAAATAAAATAAAATATATAATGCATGTGTATTAATTTTATTGTATTATGATATTCCAATACCGCAGTAAAAAGCTAAGTAAAAGATAAAGAGCTCGTGTGTTGACTGCATTATTATTATATGATGAGATGGGTAATTCTTATTTAACCTGTGTAATTTTACGGAAATTTGTTTTGTAATATACACGGGTTGATGATTATTATGATGATACTTCTGTAAATTTCTTTTTGTATTTTTTATTTTTTTCCTCATTTTTAAGAATTGTAACTATTGTATTTCTAAATATGCATATTTTATAACTTACTAATAGCTTTGGATTGTTTTAAAATATTGAATACTGTATAATTGACTAACTTGTTCTGGTTTCACAAACTAATTACAAATCAATTGATAACAATGTATTTAGCCCCTCTCCTACAAAACAATATGTAATGTGAACTAGTAAAAAAGGAATTAAAATAACAATTTTTTTAAAAAACATACATTCAATTAACAATAATGAATAGAACAAAGAATGTTTTATATAAATTTGTTAATGATTTTTTTTTTTAACATTTTTTTCAGAAATAAAAGAAATTATGAAGTCAAAAAAATTATCTGATATTCGTTTGACTCTCCGTGGTTATAAATTTGATCATGGCTTGCCCATGTATGTTTACTCTGAATTCAAAAGTGATGACCTGCCTTCTGATATTGAACAGGAATGTGAACAAATTCCTAAAGACCCACAAGTGTTTTCAGAAGAACAAATGCCTGAATTAAATAATGTAAATGTGCCAGCTGCTGGGGTATTGCAGCCAATTGAATGTGCCAATGTTCCCAATGAGACTAATACTGAACCTATGAATGATGATAAAGAAGATGAAGGTACTGATTAAATATTAAAAATCCATATATTACAATATTTATTTACCTAAATTAAAATTTCATATATTTAAGTATACCTGTTTTTAAATTATTTTAGATTATCTTTATAATAAGGACCTAAACTATTCAATTTTAAAATTTAATTTATTATAATTTTTGTCAATTTAGTAGATTAATAAAAACCATTTTATTTATTTGAACTGTTTTGTTGTTGTATGCCACAATATTATAATAAAAACAAAATAGGTTTGTATTCTGTATATCAACAATGTTGGAATGATATTGAGAAGAATAATTTCTCCTGCATTTTTTCATAAATAGTAATAATTAGTAATGATTATATTTCATTAAACTGTAGGTTTTATTGTTATATAGTTTTAATGAAACATGTATACATTTGGAATGCTGTAAAATTGGATTATAACAAAATGTTTCGTTTTGTTCTACCTTTATACACATTATTGATAACAAACATATATTTCTCATTCGTGAAAATGAAAAATAATCAAAATTAAAAGTTTTATCACATTTTATCCCTGTTTTAACCAGATAATATGAAAATTGTTTGAAATATCAAAAAATGACTTCCTTAAGTTATTGAGATAAAATTTCCTTTCAGAAAATAAGCTACACTTGATACATCTGAGTAAGATTTCTGTTAAAAAAGTTTGCACAGCAAATCAAGAGGAATTTTCCAAAATTAAAATAGTTCAAGGGAGCGATGGTTTGGGTCTCTAGGTACACACAAAATGTAAACAATTTTGTTCGAAACCCGTATTTAAACTCTTAACCCTTGGGATCATTATAGGCATGTTTAAACATTAGATTACAACACATATTCTGTAAGAGATAAATTATAGTTATTTAACATAACACATAATATCAGAACTTCAAAAAGCTATAATTTCGAAAAAGTTCGCTTAATTCGGACTCCACCATCGTTCTTAAATTAGTAATATACACATGTTTAAAAAACAAAAAAAATTGAAAAATTAGATTTGTTCTAGATAATTTTTTACTCGACGATTTGGACGCATGTAGAAATCCAGAAAATAATCGTACACAACGTAAGGTTCTAGACTGTAAATACTCTGACCGTATTTTCACAAACTGTATAATTCCAGACTGTATTTCGGTAGAAAAATAAATACGTAGACCCTATAGTCCCCAACCGTATTATTACGGACATTTTTTTTTTGTAAACCGAATTGTTCCAATCTGTATAATTTCAAAATTTGCACATTTCCATACCTTATTTTTACCGACCATAAAAATCCAAAACCGACCAAAAAAAGTTTTTTTTTCACTGAACTGTAAATGGATGCACGAGTTCATTTAAACTCATTCATCCCAAGATCTTATAATAATTACCTATGTGGATACCTACATAAACAATTGGTACACAAGACATTTTTGTTTGTTTTTTTTTATTGCAGAAAGCAAACATCATATACTGTATGTGCTAATTATAATCTTGAATAAGGTTAAGTTAGGTAGGTTAGGTCTTGGGTATACTTACAAATTTATAGTTTTCAAGTACTAGGTGTAATTTTTTTTTACTTCGATATTCCTTTAAGATCAATAAATCTAAAAATATATTTATTACTAGTTGAGTTGCTAGTGTACCTAGTACATTTATTAATATGTAGGTACATATGAAAAAATAATACGGTCTTGTGTGATATTTGGTTGTAAAATTGTCATTGGCAGAAATCGGGGGGACTTAGGGGCCTAAGCCCCCCCCCTCCAGAATGTAAACATTAAAATAAAAAATTATTTGTTTCAATATTTGATATTTATAATTTTTATTTTATTTTGTTGAGATATGAGAATGGTCTGGAATATTCACGGCTTATCGTTGTTGGGAAAATCATATTTTGTATATATTGATAATCGCGAATATTCTAGAACTTGTTTGCCATACCTGTAAAGTTATAAATACGTAAGCTGCTTACCGCCACAGCATTAGTGTCGATTACGTTTTTGGAGCGTATTCCGTGATCACCTTTATTTTTAATTTTTTGTTTTTAATACCTACGCGTGGTTTACCGTAAGTGACGTGCTAAACAAATAAACAATATAATTTTAAATTATAAATTTTAATTAATTCAATAATGGCTAAAATAAGGTTTGATGATTTAAATATTAAAAAACAAAAATTAGTTGTTACTAATTCCTCGTCAACAACAACACTAGAATCTGAAAATGATGATTTTAATATTGGTTTAGACATTGATATAACTACACAAAAAAGTGTTGAAAACATTTTAGATAAAAATGTCATTTCCGACTTGAGAACTTTAATAACAGGCCCTGTGCAACCAATTTTAACATTAAGTACAATTCTTTAAATCAAGGTATTAAACTAACATATAAAAAGTAATAACTAATAACTAATATTACTAATAGTCATAAATGATCTTAAATGTAAAATATATAATTATGATAATTATTTGTAAAAAAATTAATATATTTTTAGGAAACTTTAAAGAATTATGTAAATTATTATCAAAAAGTAATGAGGAAGTTGGAAAAAAAATAAATCTTAAAACCAATTACTCAATTTATATAATTTAAGATGGACTTATAAATATATGTGCAGATGTTGTGAAAGATATTGAAAACGTTGAGGTGTTTGGAATTATGTATGATGAAGCAAGGTGAAATATAAATTATGTTGTATAAGTGAACTTCTTAATTTATTTTAAAACATACGACAATGATTAGACTTAGTGACACTAGATGGAATTGCCATTATCGAGTCTGTTAAAAACAGTTATAAAGCAATTATTCAAGCTATAGAAGAAGAAATTTAAAATGAAGATGATAGAGAAGTAAATGAAGCAATTGGTATAATATAATAAGTAATAATTAATAATTCAAAGTATTTAAATTCCAATATCTTTGTTTTAGGTATATTGTTTCTAACAAATTTCAAGAAAAAAATGCAACCTTAGGGGAATCTAAAGATATTATCGAAGGTGTGATGATGACTTAAAAATTCTAGAACAACTTAATAAAGACTTAATAGACATATTATATTTATTTATAATTAAAATAATTTTTAGTTAATATTTACTTAACTAGGATGCAAAAGAAAAAGACAAGAGCCACAAAATCTTAAACATTTTGATACTACTACAACCACAAGTGCTGAACAAAATATTGATGACACCATTGAAACTATTGAAGATTATTTTAGAAAAAAATGCTTTCTTTCTTGTATTTGATGCTATCTTGATAAATCTGGTAAAAAAAATTGTCTACTGAAAGCCTCCAAATGGCTACAGCTGTTGATCAATTTTTTCAATTAAACTTTGAAAACAATTTTTTTTTTGTAGATCATAATAAAGTAAGTATCTTATCAGTTTCTGAAAATTAATTTTTACTTACCTATGCTCTAGTTTTTTAGTTTAATTAAAAATGAACCTGTATTTTGTATATTTTTCAAGATTTGATGAATGTATCTAAAGATGTATTACAGTCAGAAATAGAAGTAGCAAAGAATTGTATATTGCAGTCTACTGATGAAAATTATATAACTTTAAATGATGTGAAGAAGGTTTTTACAAAACAGACTTTCCCTAATTTATATAAACTATTTCAAGTTGCTTTAACAATTCCTATAAATTCCTCCACTTGTGAAAGGAACTCCTTTTTCGGCCATGTGTGGAATAAAAACTTGGCTTCGAACTTCTATGCTGTAGGAAAGGTTCAACAACACCTCAATATTATATATTGAAAAAGAAATTTCTAAATCTATTAATACTGAAACAATTGTTAATATATTTACACAAAAAAATATATATATTCAATTAAAATTAAAATAATTTAGTAGCTATTCAATATTTTATTTTTTTTATGTCCCTACTACCTATATATATATATTTGGTGCCTCAGCTAGAATCAAGTAGGAGTAGCCACTACAGTTAGTAGGTGGAAGCGTCAGAAGCGACTAAAAATATTTGTTTCCGCTAATGAATAAGACAAAAATGTTAAGCCCCCCCCCCAGATGAAACCAAATATCCGCCAATAGTAGATTATGTTGCATTGCCCGTTAATTGAACTGAGACAGAAANGGTACCTCAGCTAGAATCAAGTAGGAGTACCCACTACAGTTAGTAGGTGGAAGCGTCAGAAGCGACTAAAAATATTTGTTTCCGCTAATGAATAAGACAAAAATGTTAAGTCCCCCCCCCACAGACGAAATCAAATATCTGCCAATGAAAATTGCGTTATTTTTTTTCGCTGATTAAGAACACAAAATGTATAATCAGACAATGCCTTATATCCCAGGTAACTTAGTATAGATGAAAGTGTACACCATGATATGGTGACGCCTTGGACGTACTCATTAATAAATTATTATAAAATATAAAATATTGATCATAGCAGTTAAAATGTAGGTACATAATTTTTAATCCCTAAAAATATTTCAATTCACACATTTTTAATTAATCAAATATTTTAAAAAAATGGTTTTTTATGAATATATTCTCTTAACATCAAAATATACACGTGTGTGCAAAATACAATTTTGTATTCTTTATTCTGTAAATCTTTGAAATATCTTACTTTCATGTTTGTGCGTACATCTATTAAAAACATAATTTTACATAGAAATCTACGCTCTAATTATGAAATACATGGGTAAATTAATATTTAGTCTGTAGGTACCTACTGTAAAAAAAAACTTATTAAGTATTTTTGGAGATCTGGAGTCTAGACCCTCCAATTGTGCTTATATTCATAGACCAAGCAGATTTAATTTAAATATTATATCTACGGTTGACACAACACACTTAATTATATTATAAAACAGTGCATGTGAATTTTGTAATAACAATTTAATTAATTAAGAATATTTCTAATCAGTATAGGTAGTGTTTAGTGAATTTGCATATTCTATTGAACAAAGAGGATAAACTCAAAGGATAAAGAAATCTATTGGAAAATGTTTGTTTATTAAAATCCGAATCACCCTCTCAAAATGTGTTGTTACAATAGACTCTGCTTTTAATGAAAATATGGTAACATCTAGATTGAACGAGGAAAGGTTATCATGTCTATCTTTGTTAAACATTCACAAAAGTGTACATATTTATAATAATATTTGAAATATTGATAGATTTGCCAATGATAAAAATAGAACATTGGTTTTTAATTTAATGTAATTTAGTACTTATCTATATTTTCTCTTATATTATACTTCAGTTACTAAATTAAGAACAACTTCATTGTTATATAATAATTATTACAGAACAAACATTAAACAAATTCTTAAAACTAAAAACCTATAAAAAGTAATAAATTGATTCAGACATTTTTTTTTAAATTTATCTTTTAACGGTTAAAATTTAACCTAATATACTACCTAGTTATTACTTAAGTAAAGTAGGTATTTATTTTAGTGTACATAATAATCTCGATACATTATTCTTATAGAAGTAAATTCTAAAAATGTAAAACTAAATTTTAAATTTATTTTGGAAAATAGTAAATCAAATTTTAATCGAAAGTTTGTTAGTTCGTGGGAACATCAGTTAATTTTTAGTAAATAAAACAAAAACAATTAAATATTTTTAATACAGATATTTTAATTTTTTTATTTTAGAAGAAACTATAAGGAGGCTGATAAATTTAGTGGTTTTTATTTTGTATTTTTGTATTTTTCTGTTTTTTATTTAAATAAGAAATAATACTGATTATTTTAGTTATTTTTTTTAATTAAAATAACAAAGATAATGGATTGCTAAATTGATTATATGTATACTACTTGAATAGAAATAGATTTAGAGGTATTTACAGTCAATAAATATTCAAGTGTATAATGTATATGATTAGTTATTACAAAATAATAATAAAAGTTATACATTACAAATTATCATTTAAAAAGTAAATTTGTTTAATTTAAAAGAGAAGTTTCAAAATCCATGTCACTAACAGGAGAAAAAAAATGTTCAAACCCTATTTCCATAATATACTGCCATACTGTATTTAAATGGAAGTTTTCCAATTCTTCTGCACACAATATCCAATCCTAAGGTGGTAAAATATCTATTAAGCCATTATTTTACACAAGGGCCAAAGTCTTGAAAAATAATAGGTTTTTACAAACTGTATAGGATCATCAATTTCTTGGTCATGAAGGGGATATTTCAGTGTTTCTTTTAATATTATTTCACACGATAAATGACAAACAAGCATTTCAAATTGGTTTTTATTTGGAATAAATTATATCACTGACAAAGCTCGCAAACATTGGCTGTCATCTAGCATAGAATTATTTTTATGTAAGTAAAAATTATAAATTTCTCCGGGTGATAGTACACGAATGTTATTTGTGACTAATAAAGTAGATTCAAAGACACATTGGGGAATATTTAATTGATGTTCTATAATTTACAATTCTTTTTCAACTTGCTCCAATTCTGGATACTTAGCTAACGGCCAATTAGTTGCTAAAATTGTCATTTTATATAAATTCAATTGGGCTTTCATTCTAAGTACATTTGTTGTACCTGTGACTAGCATTGTTTGAGCGATTCACATGTAAGTTAATATTTTCTGATAATCTATGATATATTATACATTTTTTATTCAGTGTGTTCGGCAATATACTTTTTCACTTTTTAATTGAAATGTTGATGTAAAAATGCTCTGGAGATTCTATTGAACTACATTATAATTTTTAATATATTAATATACCTACTTAATATTGACATCCTTATAATAGAACATATACTAGAAAATTCATGTTCAAATTAGGTGATCTGATATTAATCATTCTACAATAACATTTGATTTAAATTTGATATAATTATTAGGTGATAACGCAAAATTTTTACACACAGATACGATACCACGGATCACAGTTTTCTACCTATAGCCGTATCACGGACTAAGCTATCGCTGTTAATATCAATTCCGCCCATTTTGGTAGAGGTAACAAAGCTGACGAACTCTGTGTAATCCACGAACAATAGTGTAAATCTGGTTTAAGCATAAATATATATTATCCAATGATCAGTGTAACTCAGCGTTCGTATCGTCGGCTGTCCAATGGTGTAGAAACTCCACCCGTAGTCATATAATTGTAGATAATTGATATTTGAGACTATGTAAAAATAAATTTACCAATTTTATTTGTTAAATTAAAACCGTCTGATTTAAATAAAGATGTCTTCCACGTTAGCCACCTTTTTCACACCAAATATTGAAGACCCTTATAGGAAGCGTGACTTAGTTCAATGCCTAAATTGCCAAGAGTATGGTCACACCAAGACTTACATTGCATATCTTCTCAGATCCGTACGATGTGCTAAACTTCACCTCCCCTTAACTTGCCAAAAATCTCCTGCTAAATGCACTTAGTGTAATGGCGCCCCCAAGATCCCCTCGAGCCATAACCATAATTCACTACCTACACACATCAAGAACCCTGATAGTTCTAAAAAGAAGGGCGAGAGCAATCTGACAACGTATAAAATACCCATTCTATAAACGTTCAATAAACTTTGCAATATTCTTAAAGCACAACTAACTAAACAGCGAGCCAACGACTACTCAAATCATATAGCTTCCCTCTTTGAAAAAAAAAAAAGGCACCCTATGGAAAAAAACTCGCAAAATATTAAAACACAAAACTACTGTCCATTTCTTAAAATGTAAGATGGCATCTGGGTCATAAATGACTCAGAAAAATCTGATTTCAACCGAATGCAAACTCACTTTTCCCTTCCAACGAAGATGAAATCAATCAATTTTTATCTATCCCATTACGACTCATTCTACTTCCAAAATATTTTTCCCCAAACGAAATAAAAACACAAATCCATAAATTTCCCCTAGGCAAGGGATTTGACTTGATAACAGTCGAAATAGCAAGCAAACTGCCACCCAAAACTACAATCCACATCACTCACATTCTCAACTCAATTCTAAGACTCTCTTACGTTCCAATTAAATGGAAATTCTCATTAATAATGCTCTTTCCCGAATCTAACAATCCCCTTATTTCACCACTTCTTACAGACAAAAAAGTCAGCATCCCTTCTTCACTAAACTCTGCGAAAATCTAATTCTTAAAAGTATCTACCCAATAATAAAGACTATCAATTGCTGTTGTCTACACTGTTCATTTCATTATTGTTAATATTATTTTGTTCACACTGCGTCGGCCATCGCTATGACGCTATACGCCCATATGCCATTGTATAGGTGCGAAATATTGGACCGGTGTCTTTTTTGTTTTTCATTTAGCGTTTACTCATTACTGTTCGTCGTGTATTAAATTTGCTGTTATAATTCTTGTGCCACTATTAAACATGCGTTAAATCAACCAGCTTTTCTTGTGTTTCTAACAAACGTTTAAATTGTAAATCATTGTTTTGTTTGGTAAGTATTTGACATTTCTATAATACTATTAAAATTATAGACCCGTTGACATGTGATAAGTGCGATATTATTTGTATAGATTTTTAAAAAGCTCTAATCTTGTTTACCAAACGAAAAAATCAAAACAAGTATAGTTTCACACAATTATACTGGATACTTAATACTTGTATTACGATTGTTAGAAATTTGATATTGTCGAAATAATACTTGTTTGTACGTTTTCAATTAAATGACAAAACATACGTTTATTTATTTGGCTAAATTTCTAGTGTCATAAATGTTCCTTTTTTTATCAAACTAAATGTTTAAAAGGAAGATTATGTAATTCAGTATTATGCATTTATAATGTGTATAGTATGATAAATAAATAATGTATAATATATAATATGTTATTTGCTAGAGCATTTGACTGTCAAATGGTTGCTTGATAAACGGGGT